TTTCGATCCTTTATCTGTGCATGAAATTAAATTTAATGAAACTTTTTTATTTTTTTAATTAGCAACGTAAAGAGTTCACATTTTTGTTCTTTATCTATTATACTTTCATATTCATTATAGATACAGAGACATTTCAAGAAAATACAAGTTCAAATCTTGAAGAATAAATAGAAGACATTCTCAATGGCGTATTCTAAATCTTTTCACGCGTCTTTGGAGTCTACGCGCGTTTTCCCATAGATACACAAGGCGTTTTATGTGAAAGTGTTTTTAGAGTGATCGCCGATCTTGGCAAATATAAGCAGTCGTACACTTGGCCGTAGGGCGCTCGGGAAGTCGTGCGTGATTGGCAAGCACGAGCAGGCCCTAACTGCGGCCGACAGGTGTGTCGTGAGAACCGTACAGCCTTAAACACATCTCGTTATCTACATTGTGGCTAATGCCGTTGATTGATTGTTCATTAAGTGAAAATGATAGGAAACGTTTAAGAGCATCGAGGCATCGTGCCACTCAATGTAATACCGACCTGCTCATGCAAAAGATTGATGCGTCAAAGATACAGTTGTCTTCATAATAACCATGACCTTTTATGATTAAGATTAAATGAACGGTTAAATGTTATTTTGGACGATGTGTCAGTAGAATGCGTAATACACATAAAATTTTAAAACAGCTTTTTTGATGTAGGTAATGGAAATTGCACAATTTTATGTTTCGCGACCCTTTGATGATTGACTATAGGGATTGACTGTCTTGGAGTTGTGCCAAATCGTAGCTTCTGACATCAGCAAAGCTAAAAGCAATGTCTTCAAAAAATTTAAACGTTGATAATATTTAATTTACTGTTGTAGATAGGTACTTACTACACATTCAATGGACATGATAACGTCCAATACATATGAAAAAGAAATGAAAATGAAAATTTGTTTATTTCTTTAAATAACATAATAGTACAATTAGTCGATGAGTCCTCCTAGTAAGTTTTAAATAAAACCTGTATCAGGAGAACCCGCTTTCTCATCACTGCAGGTAATCTAGATGATGCTATTTATACAATAATCGCCAACACAACTTAATATAACAATTTTGAAATAAACAAAATGCCAACTAAAATTATTATACAAGACTCACAATCCGAACAGTTAAAATTGCTAATATTTTCTTAGAGGTATATATATGTGTGTGTGTGTGTGTGTATGTACGTGTGTGTGTGTACGTGTGTGTGTGTACGTGTGTGTGTGTATGTGTGTGTGTATGTGTGTGTGTGCGCGCTCGCGTGTATTGTGCATTTGTGTAAGTATTGTGCATATTTTATTAATCACTTATGTGAGGAATGCCTCTGTGTCTTCATAATTTAGCGTTTTTATCCAATTCGTAACAATACTTTTGTAATCCCTGTTATTCACATGATCAATAACCAGTACCTTATGTATACGATTATAGAGGAAAGTTGAAAGTGCACTAAATTGACGTTTAGCGAATAAAGTTATAGTTTTAACAGGTAATACTATATTGTGCACTCTCCTTCGGGTCTCCGTAATAGGTTTAAAAGTTATTTTTGTACGCAACTTAAGAGTAGATCTTAATATGTAAAGTTGTCTGACGGTTAAAACATCGCTGAGCCCGTATAAGTCGGTGGTAGGAAATAATCGCGATTTAAGGTACATAACTTTTAGAAGTGAGTGTTGTGCACGTTCTACCTCCAAGAATTTAGTCTTTGTTGCTCCACCCCAAATAGAAATACAGTACTCTAGAACAGATTGCACTAAAGAAATATATATTTGGTTAATTAGCTTATGAGTTGTAATATGTCTCAGGGTCCTAAAAATCCAGATAAGTTTGCGTACTCTCTCATTGACATGCTCTATTTGAGGATTCCACGATAGTTTGTGGTCTAGTGTAACTCCCAGATATTTTGTCGTAGAAACCTTCTGGAGCTGAGTACACATACATGTGGAATAATTTTGCCCGTCACATTCATGTATTTTCAAGAATAAATCATTTTTAGGTTGGGTTCTGTCATTTATAGAGAAACACATGTAGTTTGTTTTGCTTTTGCTCAACGTAAGTAGGTTCGCTTTTAGCCATTTAGAAATTTTATTAAGACCGCTTGCTGCTATCTCAAACACTGATTTCCACGAGGATTCAGAAAACACGATCGCAGTATCGTCGGCATAGGAAAATACTTTGCCTCTCATTGAGAGAGGTTAATATTTGTTAGGTCGTTTATATAAATAAGAAATAGTGTCGGACCGAGGACACTTCCTTGAGGTACACCAGCTGTCATATCCATGTCTACTCACGTGGTTTCCTATTTTCACTCTTTGAGTACGGCCTTCAAGATAGTTTATGAGTAATTTTAAAGGTTCATTACGAATTCCGATCCATTCTAGCTTATTTACGAGGGTAGATATAGAGACCGTATCGAATGCTTTTTTCAGGTCTAGAAAAATAGCTAGCGATTTCTTACCCTTGTCAAGCTGTTCCGTAATAAGAGATGTTAGAGATAATACTGCGTCCTCAGTCGATAATCAACGTCTAAACCCATACTGTGAATTAGAAATAATGTTGTACTTTTCAAGATAACTAACAAGCCGATTGTTAATAAGCTTCTCAAGAATTTTCGATATTGCTGGTAGGACTGAGATTGGTCGATAATTATTTATGTCCCCACCTTTATATACAGGAGTCACAATAGATTTTTTTAAAGCAACAGGAAAAATACCTTTGTCGAAACATACATTTGCTAGATGACTAATGAATGGCGCAATGAAGATAACACAAAGCTTGAGAAATCTAGTAGGTATATTATCCCAGCCAGGTGCACTGTCCGATTTCATCTGCATGATAATTGTTTTAACTTCTGTAGGGTCCGTTTTAACTATAACAAACGAGTTCTGCAATCTAAATGGACTAGTGGAAGTTTTCTTATGTGAGTTATGGGGATCACTTTTTATGACATCGTTTGCCAATTTCCTACCAATATTAGCTATTTACTGAATTTACTGAATCAGATGCGGTTGATTCTATATTAAGTAGTTCTTCGCACTTTGAAGTTGTTGTTTTAAAATGTGTCACTGTTTTGACTGCTTTCCAATGTTCCTTCGAACATTTTGCCTACTTTTAATATTAGTTGCCTGTCGTATTTTCGTTTAAGTTTTTTTATTAAACTGTTACAAAAGTTTCTGTATCGTCTATAAGTAATTTTTAGAATGTTTTTTAGCTTTAGTTGCATCTTATTCCTGTATTTGACACATCTAAGAATTCCCTCAGTTATTCAAGGTTTGATACAGCGCTGGTTTTTAGTTAGAGTTTTAAATGTCTTACTCTCTTCTAATGATTCTGTTATTGATGTCATTAACCGTGTAGTAACAATCTCTGGGTCGTAGCAAAAGAGCAACGACTGCAGGTTCTTTTGAAGTAGTTTATCATAAGCGATCGAGAAGTCTATATGCTGAACAGTATTTTTATTATTTGTTTTAAAGTTAAATTTAGATAATGACAAAAATAATGTCAAATGGTCCGTTATTGTTGCATTTAGTACTGCAATATTTGCTGATAGTTTGGCTTTGTCTAATTTTATCATAATATGATCGAGGCTTCTGAGGTTTCTTGTAGGTAATTTGTGTCCAGCTAATATACCATGCATGGCTAGCATATTTAGATATTCTATTCTATTATGTCATTCATATGATTTTTCTGTTGCAGATTGAATGAGGTCGATATTTAAATCACCAGTGATAACTATATTTCGATGTGACAGGATATCATTTAAGAAAGCATTCAAAGATTCAATAAATTCGTTTGCGTTTTGTATGGAGGGTGAACGGTAAATGCCTATTATTATCACACCAAGAATACTTAACTGTATACAAGAAGCATGTTTTAAATTAATTTCTTTAAGAACGGGTTTTAGATGAGTTTTAACATAAATCACAACACCATCCTTCTGGTTTAAATTATGAATCGATTGTAAAGAAGTATAATTAGGAATATGGGGAATTGGTTTATTTTTGTCCAGCCTACACTCTGTCAGTACAAGAACATCTATATCGTGACTTAAAATTGATATTGTAGCTTCCAAACTGTGAAAATTACAGTATATACTTCTAATATTTTGACAAAGTAACGTAAGGTCTATTTTACGGATCTGTATATGATTTTTAAGATCTCGTATGTTACAATTGAAGTAACTAGCTGCTTCGGTATTATCCAAGTCCGTAATTGTATTATGTAAATCATTTAAGACCATAGACATTGAAACATAAGGGCAAAATTACACAAACCAAAGAAATTATTACACCATTCAATCGATATATCACTTACGTTGCGTAGCGATTTACTCTTTTCAGTACGCAATGCAACTATATTGAGGTATAAGACCAATCTGGGAATTTGGTTTCTACTTAAAGTTGGAATACATGTGACACCGTAAATAGTAACCGATGCACAGAGTAGAATACGTATCGTCACAAAAGATATTTTTTCAAGTAAATTGATCAATGTTTGAACGAAGTCTGTATGTGTATGTGATGTCTGTATAGGGAGTTTATTTGTGATTAGTGTAAATAGTGTAAGTGGTGATTCCATAATGTGTTGTTTGCAATTTACAACTTTACAATATATAATTAGTTTAACAATTACAAGGCTATTAAAAAATACTAGCAAACCTGTGAACCAAATGTTCACCAAAAAAAAAAGGATTTAATTAATTGAGAACTTCGGAGATTTTGTTGAAATAGAAATCACGTGATTTCTTGAAAACCGGAAGTGCTACGTTACTCACATCCGGTTTGTAGTCTTATCAGACTATTCTTAACTTATAACTTAAACATTCTCTATATCTATCTCTTACGGTTTGGCCGCTGAAACAGCACCACGGACGGACGGACGGACGGACGGACTTGTCTAATAGATAAGAGATACTTAGAATATAATCAAACAAAACATACCACTAGATTTGAACTAAATATGAATAGTAGCCGAACGAGTCCAACTAGTCATGCTTCCTGGAGAAGGTGGTGTATTTGAGCCTCATTTTTTATTGTTATTATAGAACATTTTTCATCCTTTCTTACATAAACCCGACCAAAGGACGTCCAGCAAAACTTGTAAGATTTTGATTTAGAAAGATCTCTTGCTAGAAAGAAAAGTCTAGCGCCTTTGGGGCTTAGTTGTTCCGTAGCAAAGACTAGAGTATCTTCATTGGTCGTGAATCCTAAGTGTTTAGCATGCAATTTCTGTTTGTTCTTGGTATTGAATAACTTCGTCTTTCCCAATATGTCACGTTTCAATATACTAGAGTCGAGTTCCATTATAATCGGAGGATTTTTTACCAATTCACCATTTCTTGTTCTTGTACGTACTCTATAAAAATCTCTTATGTCTGATTTCTCGATTTTACAATCAATATGTTTGGATAAGTGTAATATCATGCTCAATAGCTCCTCCTTTGACTCTTTTTCTGTAGCTGGTACATTTTTTAATTCAATATTAGATTTTCTACTATCTCTTTGCATATCTTCCACCTTTTCTTCCAATAAAGTAATGTATTCTCTGTCTTTTTTAATCTGTAATTCCATTGTTTCTATTTTACTTCTGAATTCTTCGTTTTGGCTGGTAAGGATAGCGAATAATGTAGTGGATTATCGATTATATTTATAAGGCTTAGTACCAGGACAGCATAATCTTAAAGGCGTTGTAATAATAGTGTGAATCGTACCGTATGATGTGCTATGATTATGATGATATGATGGTGTGTCCAAGCTTGAGGTGTGGTCTTGTCAGAAGAAAGCGGGACAACACGCGAATGGCTGTGATGCAGCGTCAGGGAGGAGATTGCTTCAGCATCCATCATTAATTTACACACACCAACACATTTAAACAGCATTCAAAATTTAACATCGTTTATTCAGTCTAGGCTGTTACAAACACTTGTGAATGTCGAAAAGTTATGCCATCGGTTTGCAAATCTGCGGCGGGAGACCTTGTACTGAGAAGAACCGGCAATAAACTCTTTTGTCGTTTCGTTTTTTTCTCCCTGTATTATATACAGAGACGTCAAATTGAAATATGACTTCAATATAAGATAACTCATGAAGTCACTGTCCATTAAAGTCATTCCTAACCATTTAGCTTTTTGTGACAGAATTTCATCTCATCCTTAGTGTGGTCACCATTGTATGAAAAATATGTTTAAATTTCAAGTCAATCTATATAAAGGGATTCAAATATAGCTTTATTATTACTTAGTACCATAACTCGGTGATGCTTGCTGCTTCGTTTGCATAAAATAACTCTTTCCCCATCCATATTTCTCGAGCCCTATTTCAACGCCTTCAACTGTAGTTTTGTTGAGCCAAAATCAAAAATCATTTATTCAGTCTAGGCTGTTACAAGCACTTGTAAAGGTTAAGAAGCTACACCATCGGTTCGCAAAACTACGGCGGGAGACTGAGAAGAACCGGCAAGAAACTCAGCAAAAGGTAGCAAGTTGGCATCCTTGTAATAAGATAAACATTCTCCATAGAGCAGGAGCAGCAGAGCAGGAGCAGGAGCAAAACGTATCTTTCGGGATTATAAATTATTTGTATATCTATATTAAGCATTAAATGTGCAAAAATAAGATAAACTACATATTTCAATCTTCAAGTCGGTTGAGAAAATGCCATTATGGTCTAAAAAAATAATAAAACACGCAAACAAAGACAAATAATTATCATAAATATAGAGCAATAGTTTCAAAGTTAATAAGTACCACGCCATGTCCCGTACATTGTGCGTATAATTTAGATGGCAATATAAAATAATTACCATTATTAGTACCCAACGCACGCATTTTCATTTTTACGTTAACCTACCAACAATAATTTATATTTCATTAAAGTACTTAATATAATTACAGCAATCACGATGATATAATTAGCTTGTCCGACTTACGAAATTATATTTTTGTTGACAATAGACCAGTCCATGTGAATGACAATCTTTATAGTAGTCGCATGTAATATGTAGATCTACGTCATTAAAAATGCAATCTTCCATGGGAGAAAAAGAAAAAAATATAGTAATATGCAAGCGCCATGATCACGGAGTAACTCCAACGTAAACGTAAAGTAAGTAAGGCGCTTGCAACAGTATTGGAAACTCGCTAAAAACAAGGTACATGGTAACAATCCCGTGAATAACATATATTACTATAATGTTAGTGACCATGAAAGTTTAAAACAAAGAAAAAATTGTACACGTCAACTGTAAGCTTTTTCGGGAAAACTATTTGGTTAGGGCGATTAGCAAATGGGACGTCTTTGAAAGTTGTACTCACAGTACAAGTGGTTGATACTGTGGAAGTTACTACTGACAATCACCATCTTATAATATTTCACCTCTTTGGCTCTACCTACACCCCCTTATTAATAAACGAAGACTTCAGTTGGATTAGTTACTCCATGTTTTGTCTCTGTCTATTGAATGTCAAATGGCATTTGTGTGACATGAACAAAACATGGCGTAACTTATTAATAAACAAGGAATAAGCTTAGACTAGCTTATTCCTTGTTTATTAATAAGCGTGAAAGAAGTCTATTTTTTTTGGATGGCAAATAGTAATTGGACCTCGTAATGGTAAACGTTAATCATAGCCATGATAAAAGTGCTTACCATATCAGACCATCACTCGTGTGATTACCCTGGCCACATTGGAACTGTGGAACCTTACACGGCAACAGAAAATCACCAAAAAGTAACATAATTTCACTCATCATTTGTTAGTGCATTCGTAAGCTAGAGGTGTTCCAATTCGAGTGCTATTATATTGCCTCTATTGAAAAATCTTGAACATTATTTTGATTGTACTCAAATCCTTCTTCCTTCTTATATGAAAATTGTATGTTTGTTTGTTTGTATGAGGGATTCTCAAAAAACTAAAGTTAGCGGACGAAGTCGCGGGCGGCCACTAGTTACTCAATATTAAAGAATTTCTCCTTAGAAAACTATCCGATCAGCTTAGTACCACTGTTAAAAGACACAGGTGAAAATTGACCTGTAACATGTTCCGCTACGTGATCCTACGTGAGTGGAGCACGTAAATAAGACTAGAAGAGACTAGTTGCGCAACTGAATGAGAATGTTGTTTATTTCATCTCGTGCCGTGAATAAAGTCTTTTCGGCTTAACTAACGTAATTCGACGCGTAAATCGGTCGGTAGGCGATTAACTCGGAGAAAGTAAAAATAAAATAGTGCAACCTGTGTCTGATATCGCTCCCATGTGAGTTCTTCATCGGTGGCTGCCAAGACATTGCTCGAGAAATATGTACCTAGGTGTGATAACGTGTTTCAGTTCAGACATATTAATTTTATTGATGTTATTAAGTGTTTTAAATCTCTTAAACAAAAAAATACAAATGATTTATGCGGTATTTCTACTAAAGTTATTAAAAGTATAATACCCGTTATTGCTCCTTATCTAGTTGATATATTTAATAACTGTATTGATCAAGGAGTATTTCCGGATTTAATGAAATACAGTAAAGTTATACCTCTTTTTAAATCAGGAAATAGAAATGACCCTGGAAACTATAGGCCTATATAAATATTACCGGTTCTTAGTAAAATATTTGAAAGAATTATTCTGGAACAATTGATGCCTCATTTCAACCTTAATAAACTTTTGCATAGGAAACAATTTGGTTTTACTAGAGGTAGATCTACTACTGATGCGGGTGTTGCACTTGTAAGGAGTATATTGGAGGCTTGGGAGAGGTCGCATAATGTCCTTGGAGTGTTCTGCGACTTATCCAAAGCTTTTGATTGCGTTGATCATCACACGCTGTTATTGAAATTGAGTCATTATGGAGTCAAAGGTACTGCATATAAATTGATACAGTCGTACCTCAGTTCCAGAATACAAACTGTAGAGGTAAATGGTGTTAGATCATCTGGATCTCATGTGGAAATGGGCGTTCCCCAGGGTTCAATTTTAGGTCCCTTCCTGTTTCTAATATATGTAAATGATTTGCCATTTTTTGTGGAAAATTTGTGTGAGATTGTATTATTTGCTGATGACACATCTTTATTATTTAACGTTGACAGGCGCAGAAACAACTATGACGATGTGAATAATGCTCTCTCGCAAGTTCTGCAATGGTTTAATGTCAATAATCTAAAGCTAAATGCTAATAAAACCAAGTGTATTCAATTTTCCATACCTAATGTAAAAGTTGAGCATATTGGAATTAAATTAAATAATGAAAAATTAGATTTAGTAGACTCGACTACATTCTTGGGTATAACGATAGACTCAAAACTGCAATGGAGTCATCACATTACGCTTTTGGCTGGTAAACTTAGTTCAGCAGCTTATGCCATAAGAAAGATAAGACAACTTACTGATATAGATACTGCCAGGACTGTATATTTTAGTTACTTTCATAGTATCTTATCATACGGCATTTTACTCTGGGGAACAGCAGCTGATATTGAAAGTATTTTCATTTTACAAAAAAGAGCTGTGAGATCTATTTATCAATTGAGTAGCCGAACATCTCTTAGAGAAAAATTTAAAGAAATTGGAATCTTGACTGTTGCTTCTCAATTCATTAACAATTGCATACTCCTCGTTTAAAATAATATCAATTTGTATACCAAACACAGTAACGTACACAATTTTAATACTAGGAATAGAAACAAGCTTGCATTGCCAGCCTACAGGTTACAGAAGCTTTACCGATCTTTTATGGGTCAAGGTATACATTTTTACAATAAAATTCCTGATGCTGTTCTTGAGTTACCCATAAATGAGTTCAAATGTCACATTAAAAGTTGTTTAGTTAAGAAAGGCTATTATACTATTAAAGAATACTTGAATGACAAAACTGCATGGCTGTAACTGCAAAATTGTTTTGTATTTGTTTGCAGTGTCGTACAGATAAATTACCTTAACTCTAAGTAACTATTTTGCAGATTGGTTTTAGTGGTTATGGGTAGTCATGCTCTCTTAAAAATCTCTTCGGCGGTGTCGTGTGAGGCGGGTCGTTGCGTTCCCTAAAATATGGTTGAGCGAAGCGATGGCTGGTTCATGCGTCATGCTCGTGAACGGGTGCTGCCAGCGGAGATGAGTCTGCTCTATACTACTTTATTATTGTAATGATAATTATTATAAAATTTTGATTGTATTTTACATTACACAACTTGTATTTATATTGTATGACGCAGCAATCAAAATGTAAGTGAACATATATTATTTCTCTGATAAAGATTTAATGGCGGTGTGGATTCTGGTATGTTTTTCTAGACCTGAACTTGGTTTTGCAGCGGTGTATCCTTGTCATTCTCTATACAGACTGAAAAGGGGGGACTGATGTTGGATTTGGTTTTGGGTTGGGAGAGTATTGCCAGAGTCGACAACAGTGTTTAGGTAATCACATGCATGTGTCCTGCCGTTGTGTTTATAGTTTGTTATAATAATGTACACTGGTACCTATATGAATTTTTTTTTTTTCTATATCCATGTATTCTATATATGTATCCATGTGTGGTTATGAGTAGTCATGCTCTCTTATAAATCTCTTCGGTGGTGTCGTGTGAGGCGGGTCGTTGCGTTCCCTAAAAAATGGTTGAGCGAAGCGATGGCTGGTTCATGCGTCATGCTCGTGAACGGGTGCTGCCAGCGGAGATGAGTCTGCTCTTAATTCACTGGGTATTAATCGTTGTTCTAAACTTTAATCGTTCATTATTATTATTATTTTTTTTGCCTAAACGGTAGGACATGTCATTCCTAAACTTTGTTAAACCATTTTTTTTTACATATTTTTATTTTTTATTTTATAGTCATAATTTTTATATTATTTGCATTTTTGTTTGTTTGTAATGAAAAGTGACTTTATGAGTTACTTCATATTGAAGTTATTTTTCAATTTGACGACTCTGTATGTAATACAGGGAGAAAAAAACAGCCCTTGCTGAGTTTCTTGCCGGTTCTTCTCAGTACAAGGTCTCCCGCCGTAGATTTGCGAACCGATGGCGTAGCTTTTCGACATTCACAAGCGCTTGTAACAGCCTAGACTGAATAAACGATATTGAATTTTGAATTGAATTTTTTGAATTTTGTGGAGCGCTGCAGTGCTCCGCACTCCGTCCGCTTATCTGCAATTTACGTAACCGAAATGTACCTACATACAATTTAATGAAACTCTTTAAAGTAACAAAATCCTCTACCTCTACGACTGGATAGGTACAAACGATCATAAAATTCATTAAAAGCAAGCAAGCAATAATTTTTAAGCAAGCAAATACGCTTCTATACCGACATCTTTGAAAACAATAAATATTGTTTGTTTACTAATTTCGTAATGCCACTTTCGACACCCCTTTTTGCTCTCTGAACTCACTTGTTTGAAAAACGTCGGAGATCGTAAAATTTCCCCAATTCTAACAGTCCCCAGTCTCCACATAGTGCGTAGTGGTAGTGGCATCGTGTTGGTTGCTTAGCAACGGGCGTCGCCAGAGAGGCGAGCGCCGGGACGCCGCGGCTGCTGCGGCGCCAGTGCTCGTCTCGCCGCCCGCCCTGTGAGTGCATCTCGCCATTGCACGAGACAAACGCGCATCGCGAATTCAGTGAAACGCAGTGATGACGTGCTAAATTTTCTTTTGTGAAGAGTTTTAAAGCAGTTTCTTACGGAGATGTTTTTTTTGGATAAAAAATATATTTTTGAAGTGAATCTTACTTACTATTATAATTTCGATGAAGATCTGATATACATAATAATATTTAGTTGGATAGCATATCGGTTAACTTTTTTAGTATCCACATGAAACTATATATTTTTAAAATTATATCTGTGTTTTTAGATCTAGTATCAAAATATTTTCTTCCAACGGATCGACGCTATAATTTCTTCAAATTAGTCTTAATTAATCAAAGGGCCCTTTCTCTTATAAAGTTTTTAGTTTTTTACTTTACTTCTATTGTTTTATTCCGCCTAGGAAAAATAAAGACATCAAAGTTTATGTTTTCAATAGCCCGCATTGCGACGAGACCATTTCAATGCGAATATCGTAGCTCTTGTCCACACAGCACAATGTCTGTAAGTTCTAAAGAAAAAAAAACAGCTGAACCAGAATGAAAGAGCTTCTAGAGCGGTCGGTGTGAGCACTGCCCTTTTATTTAGAGCCACCCCTGAGGTCGACGACCCCGCGCGTGCTCCACGCGTGCGGAAGGTCAGGGTTATGCCCGTCACTGTCACGCCCCGTCACAGAGCGCATTAATGCCATTCGATCCGTGACGTATATTGAATGCTGTAGCATTTTTTTGCTAAGCCGAATAGGTACTTACTGGAATTAACTTTTGACAAATTCTACTTGTTATTTTGCCGAAATCGCATGTGAGCATTTTAACAGGTTTGCACAAACACTATGTTTCAGATATAATGTAAATAGGAAAGGAACTAAATCATAATGGAAGCTAGTTTTATGTTACGACGTTACGATATACATATAACTCTTCGTACTTACTAATGTCGTAAAAAAATTCACGGGAAGCGCGAGACGACTTCGTAAAAGTCGTTACTAGTTTTTTTGTGGGATGCCGCAGTGCAGGGGCGCACGCCCCAGCCGGACGTCCATACGTTTCACACATCGTCAGCATAGTACACGACATATCGGTTTACAGTTATCAAACTAATAAATTTATTCGTTTATTTAAGCACTCCTGTTGCTGTATACAGAACCTATCAACGGCATACATATAACCACTTAAACTTAAATTGTTAAAAGAAGTTAATTTAGAACTAAAGAAAAATTAGATTTAGGCAAAGAATCTGTTTTATTGTAAAACCGTTTTAAGAAAATGCGATTTATGTTTGATTCTTGTATTGATCTTATCAATAAAATGTTCAAATATTGTTCAAGCCATAATAAGACAATCAAAGCGGCACTTTCGTTAAAAACAAAATATCGAGAAAACTCAATTTACATTATAAACATACATAATGTTGTATCAACATGGTGCTGTTTTTCTCCCTTCTGTAACATAAATGTTAACTGCGGTTCATTCGTTAGTCGTCATGTGCTAGCGCTTTTGTTTTTGTAGGCACCTGCAATCGTGTACAGCTGTTAAATCCCACAGCTTTTCTACATACATTTATGGCACTAATGAGCACTTTTACACCAGACTCGCATCTATGTTCGCACATCAAACGGACCAGGAAACTAAGTTTTTTTTTCTATTAGGTACTTAAATTATTATGTACGTGAACTGGTTCATGAATTTGTGGTTTCTAAACTCGTAATTGATGTTAAAAATTACCACTTGCGTTTAATATAAAGGACATTGCTCGTTCCCCATACATTGAATGCCCTAGAACGCCCAGCAATGAGAAAATGCTAGTTGTGTTCGGAATCATTCATAAACTCTAATTAGGCATTTGTTGAGATACGGACAACTTGAGGAACCGTGGCCTACTACATAATGTATTTGATTTTGAGGTTATAATTATTATACTTAATCGTAAAAGATGTACACTTTATATATTCTGAATAGATTTAGTGTTTACCTCTATGTAAGCACTTAAATAATATGCATTAAATGAACATAAAATGCAATTAATAATAAAAATAATAAATGCTTATATTCATATTGATTAATGAGTGTTGTCAGTTGGCACCTACGATACCTATACCTTACCTGTAGTAATAATAGATTTCTTTTCAAATGAAATGTTCAGTCTTTCCATTTACCTGTTTCTATATTTTACTATCGGTAATTAGGTATGTACCTGGTTATCATTATGATTTTCATAAAAATAAACAGATATTACATGCGGTGGGAGTATAAACTATCTTTACATAATTTCAGAAATAATCTTTTTATAAATATAATACTAGTAATAAGTATTATTAACTAAGTTATCTCTATTTTTCTTTTGATAAATACCTATCGTCGCCTCTAATGCATTTTATTAAGGTAAACAATCTTGGCACAACTTTTTAACAGAATCACCCATTTAATAATAAAATATTAACGAAGCCAATAAACTATTAAAATAAATCGTTATTATAGACTGAAACCTTTTGAATCCAGTTATCAGTTGATTTTTAATGCTGTTTTTTTCAATAAAAAGGAGTGCCAAGTTGGATGAATAGACTGTAGTATCTAGTAACAGAACTTTAATTTTTCATTTTTTTAAACAGATTGTCCGTTTACTATGATTAATTGCTAATAAGTTAAAAAAATAATAGAAAGATAATAGTGAAGGACATTTTTTTGGGCATGCTAGGGCCGATTTCGTCGATGTCCTTTCACTCGTCTAGTACAAGCTAGCTCTAATTTAACCACGTAGGAGCTTAACAAAATATTTTGCTACATAGCATTTGGTCTCGTAACTGTTATTATTTTAACACATCACGTAGCCATTTATATGGAAAAACATTGTCACGGCAAGTGAATAGCAATGAGATAAAAACTGATTTGCCACTGTAATGCTCATCGTATAAAGTAATAAATGGGCATTTTTTCATAAATGTGTTACATTATATGATATAAGTATTTGAAGTTACAATATAATATTCGCATTGCTGTTGCAGAACATGTTCCGAAAGGTTGAACTCATCTCGACATAACAAGTTAACAACTATGTGCTAAAAAGTAATCGGAAAGAGTAAAAAACATGTCTTTTGAAAATATGAAGTGATGGTGAACGTATCCATCGATCGCAATATTGCGGTGAGAAAATGTGATGGTGCGAGATGCGCAGACGCAGCATAGGTGGCGGCTGCGGCGCGGAAGCGGCGCGCGCGCTGCACCGGCTCGCGTTTGCGCTGTGGCGCGCCGTGTTCTACCTGCAGCGCGCGCCGGCGCAAGTGCGAGAGCGCTCGCGCAGCTGTGTGCGCACTACAGAGAAGAAATCATTGGTGTGTTCTTAGTAAGGATTAGTTAGGAGCTTACTATCTGTGGTTGCTCTGTAGTTAACTTTGAATTGAGCTACTGGCTTCTTGTAGAAGTTAAAATTTGCTGTCAAAAGTGACAGCCTGAGGTCTAACTGCGCTCGCCGGGGCATAACTAGTCTTTGGTGAAGTGCGAGCTGATCTTCCAACTCCCTCTTCTCCTTGTGGAGGTTCTTGCACACTATATTAGACGGTTTTGACTCCTTTTAAATTGGATACTTTGGTTTGTAGAAATTACTTATTATTGCTTTAGTAACTTTATGGGCAAAGGTTTTGTAAATCCTTGTTGTGTAGCAACAAAATAATTAGGGTAGGAAAGAAAAAAGGAGAGGAAAACAACAGGAAATGGTTATAGAGTATATTTATAATTTACAAGATTGATAGTATTTACACAAAAATAATAAAAGAATAGAGAATGCGCGAGTGTGAGCATGTGAAGTGCGAAGTGTAGAGGGCGTGGGTCGTCGGCGATCTTCTTCAGGAGACATGAGGCCTGGGTTTTGAAGGTCGGGAGGTCGTGCCAATGACAGATGGGCGGCACTCCTTGAAGCGGCAGCGCTCCGGGTCGGGCGTCTCTTAATTCTCGGCCAGCGCTGCTGGTGGCTGGCAGGCGCTGCTGGTAGGTTAGCCTGCGAAGTGGTAGGACAACCGGTACTGCTGGTGGAACGGCAGATACAGCTGGTAGGTGGGCCGAAGCAGCTGGAGGCCGGACAATGCTGCTGGAGTCCAGGCGGCAATAGGGGTCCGCCGATAAGGATGAATGTGGAGTAGTTTGCAGTTAAGTAAATTTAGACGTATAAAGCCAAAGGCGGCCTTGAGGTCTTTGCTTGGATCTTGGCGGGTCAAGGCCTCTTAGAAATTTGGAGAGCTTTCATTCGAAATGATGAATAGTGTGTGATATTTTAATTTGTGCGTTTCCAGGAATGATAATAAAAGATTTGTACAAATAATAGTAGTATGCTGTATTTTATGATCATATGGATGATGCGAGCTGTGAAATGGAACCTATAATTACCATAAGAAAGGATGTCCCTGAGGTACATTACAGCCTTCCCGATGTACACTTAAGTACATCTGCAATCGTCCGTTGACTTCGAGAAAACCGCTAACCACGTACGTAGGCTACTTAGTATAATTGTGTTGAATATTATTATCATAGTATGTTTAAATCATAATAATCATGAACTGTGAACGTACAAAACAAAATTGCGGAACTAAACATAGCATACATTTTATTTAGCATGATACCTCGTAACAAATATTCTTTCGTAAAAAAATAATAGAATATTTTAATTATATCAATTACAATAAAAAAATTGTATAAGTCAAGATTCCTGTGAAAATTAAATACTTACATGTAAATATTTTTTTAATAAATACAGAGCACGATTTAAAATTGTAACGCATGAATAATAAACTCAAGCATACAGCAACAAACTTCGGCCAAATTCATATTATATTTTACAACTTCCTATTAAAATACGGCTTCTCATCACACCCATATCAATTTCCTGCACTAATAAAGAGTGGCTTAACATTTTTTGCTAATGGCTGAGTGTACATAAAAAATGTTTCCTTCCCGGTGCGATGGAATGAGTCACGTTAATATCAATAATGCAACTAATAGCTGGCATCGTGGCGTCGAGCACAGCTGCAGTAATCACTTAAGCCACACCTCGGCCATATATCAGCCTTATTCGACCAGCCATTCAAACGATAGGCTCTACCCCAAAAAAATATCAAGTCAACCTATTAACTAAACATTTCCGAGATCCGAACAAAAAATAGTTAACTTACTTACCTAAATGACAACCTGACGATTTGTAGCTGAAAGTCTTTCTGAAAACAAATGCCAAATGTGGCGTTACCTGATGGAGCATTTGGTAAAACTACTTTGATACTAGTATATTAAATCTATGAGCATTTTGTGAAACTGCCTGTAAAATTGCCAAAAACATAAGTGGTTAACTGAAACTCGTATGTAATATTGTACATATACAAACTGCCCATAACTCTAATAAATTCTGCAATATTATAAATAATATTTACATAAAGTTTCATTAATTAACAAACCACCTCGAGTATAATTTCTTGTGCGCCGCGCCGCCTGCGGTGTGGATTCTGCGCGATTATCTATATTACATTCATTAATTTCATTGTTCGTGATATTTGTGTTTGCTGGTAAACTTATAACAAACGCTATGCATGTAACTTTATCGCGAGTAAGCACTTAATCTCAGAAACATACCGCTTGTAGCGAGAATATGTGATTAAGGAACGTTATTAACAGTAAGTGGCTGCTTGCAACATCATTCCGTCCGTATAATCGTTTTTAAGGACGTCTGCAATTAGTTGTTGGGAGGCGAAGTGTATGCAAAATGGAAGACTTCAGCGGTCTTTTACATTTAACAGATTCTTATCACCTTATAAATTGATAAACTCTATAGCATGTTTTGAAAGTTTCTCCAAATCTTTTATACTTATTAAGCACCATATACTGACATAAATTCCGGGTTTACATGTTAAAAAAAAAACTTTTTGACAAAAAAAATTAAACCGCCGAAAAGCAAAAAATACAAATTACACCAACTACAAATATTAATTTACTAAAGATAAAAAGAGGTTTATTATTTTTTACTTTTCGACGATAATTTTTTTACCATTTTTGTGGTTATAATTTTTGTAATATACAAATCTGCATCATCTGTTCAATCTTTGAGTGAACAAATAATCTCCTCCTGTTTTCATACCCTTAGGGGTGCATTTTTTTTCCAAATTTTCGTTAATTAACAAACGTTAGGAACTACTCTGTCAAAAGTTATGCGTAATCATACATAAAAAAAATGTAAAAAAAATACGCGTCGAATTAGATCCTCCTCCGTTTCTTTCGTCGGTCAAAAAATATCAGAAATCAGAAATCAATATATCTTTTTTCAAATTGGATGTATAGTACAACTCTTTTGAATCGTCCAAAAAAATTTTTTCCCTACCACTCGTTATGGATATATTTTTTAGCTGCGGAGGAAAACGAGCGAACAAAGCTCCACAACATTAAAAGTCTAATGTAACAAAATTTACAAATCATTATGTTGTTACAACGTCAATACAATTATGATTTATTTAAAAAAAACCTATTGGAAAGATTGGAACAGTTCAAACCCAATCATTTTTGTCTGTAGTATAGTGTTTTTTTTTATACTATCTTTAAATTTATTTATGGTTAACTCTTGGATATTGCTTGGGACTTTATTGTATGAGCGAACACAAAGACCTTTAAATGAATTATTAAATTTTTGAAGCCTAGTAGCAGGTAAAGTTAGTTTATTTTTGTTTCTTGTATTAAGTGTATGAACATCACTGTTTTTAAGAAACAAATTAATATTTTTTCTTACAAGTAATAAATTTTCGTATATGTATTGTGATGCGACCGTCATTATTCCAAGTTCTTTAAATTTATATCTTAACGATTCTTTAACTTTAAGATTATAAATTGATCGAATAGCTCTCTTCTGCAGCACAAAAATAATTTGAATGTCGGCGGCATTTCACCACAATAAAATTCCGTACGATATTACACTATGGAAATAACTAAAGTACACTAATCTGGCCGCATCTACATCCGTTAGCTGGCGTATCTTCATTGCGGCATATGCTGCAGAGCTAAGTCTATATAATATAACCTATTAGTTAAACGTTATTGGAAAAAAATAAAATCTAAAACCCCGCCAAGTGGTTATTATTAAAGCATCTCTTATCTATTAGACAAGTCCGTCCGTCCGTCCGTCCGTGGTGCTGTTTCAGCGGCCAAACCGTAAGAGATAGATATAGAGAATGTTTAAGTTATAAGTTAAGAATAGTCTGATAAGACTACAAACCGGATGTGAGTAACGTAGCACTTCCGGTTTTCGAGAAATCACGTGATGTCTATTTCAAACGAAACCACACAAAATCTCCGAAGTTCTCAATTAATTAAATACATTTTTTTTTGTGAACATTTGGTTCACTGGTTTGCTAGTTAATATTAATTTATCAGAACTCCAAAGAACTCTCTAGACGGTCCAAAAATACTTTAACGAGAATGTGTATATGCTTCACACCAAAGTTATAATATGAAAGCTAATTACTTATTTCAATCAAATAATAATCTCTTTGACCTTTACTTCATTTATTTTGAAGCTTTCAATTCTGAATTGACGATTGTTATTGTTTAGCTAATTACGCTGTAAGTCTCGAAAGTAATAAGCGGTATCAAATTCATTTTTCAATGCTATTATCTCAACAAAATAAAATACTATATAGTACTAGACAGTGGGCCGGAGTTGAGAAAAAACGGACGAGAATTAAATTACTACTTTTGATTTCATTATAATGACGGGGTCGACCTTGAGAGTGAACTTTTGTGATTTGTTTCGCAATACATTGTACAATACGAAAAGTTTGAAGTGATTTATAATGTAGCCTGGCTAAGCTTTTCAGCTTCTTTTGTGAAAGTAGGATTATTTTTAGCTTTTTTTATTAATGCTTGTTTCAGTGTGTTGACTTTTTAGCTCGTTATGAGGATCAAGAATTTACTTTGTTTTTTATTTTAGAGTTGACTTGTTGTGGATTGTGGAGGATGCTTTGTATCTATACTTAATTATAAAGAGTATGTTTGATAGTTTGTTTGTTTGATTTAATGCGCTAATCCAGGAACTTCTGGTCCGATTTGAATAATTATTTTGTGCTGGATAGTGCATATATCAAGGAAGGCCATAGGGCTAAATAACAACGTTGCAACTAACAGAAGCGAAGCCGCGATGAGAATTTTGCAAAAATAAAAAAAATATACCATTTGTGAGCTTCCGTTGCGTGCACTGCGTAAACGGTAAAAATTACAGAAAAATCATGTATCACGGAATATTTCCCCTTTATAAGTTCTATAAGAAAGTCTGCGACAGCATATGTCTATCTTTAAAGGGTACCCACTATAACGTTTTTCTTCAAATTAATGCGTATGAAATCGCAGGGATTTGCTTCAGATCAGAACTCTGATTACTGTTAAAGATTTGGTATTCGTTATGTATAGGTAGGTGTGTAAAGTAGTATAAACTACTGATTGGATGTTTTCCATATGTCATAGGTTTGTAAACTTCTTTAGAGGAAAATGAATGTCGTTTAATTAATAAAAAAATATGCGTTGTTTCAGACCCGAGCTGTAAGTGCTCCGGCAACCCCAGCGACTTCTGCATTCACCAGAGAACAGGTTCGTGATTGACTAAGTTATATAATAAAAAAACTTATTTGAACTTATTAGTGATGATTAAAAATTAAAAGATCAATTTTTAGTACGCATTAGTCAACTATTATCTATTACACGAGGTCCCATGCTGCGTCGCAAACATACTCGTAGATCGCCAAAATAGTAAACATAACTAAATTATACACCGGAGTGCAACGGGGACGGATCACTAGTATTTGTTAAAATTGTCGCTACAACTAAAGAAGATGTACGGAAAAGGCTAAGGCCACCTATAAATGCCACCACGTCACTTGTAGAATTACATTAGAATAAATCCACAAGCATGTTGCTTGGATCTTAACATAAGGCGAGGTCCTATGTACCTGCGGCCTTAGCCTTTCCGTGTCATTAAACTGAGTCAACCTGCAATTTTTTACACAATGCAACCTAATACTTGACGGCTCTTAATCTACCAAGCTCCAGTCTACTTAAGAAGACCAGACAAATCGGATTAAGTACGTCAATGTTCGACCGGGGCATTGCGCCTACGCATCAATAAGTATCACTTTCTCGTTGTGCGCGCCTACGATTTTGTGTTTGATCTGACAGCTACTAAGCCAGTCAAATCAGGGCTTTTCACTATTTATTGTGACACTTTTCTATTTTTGTTTGCTCTAATGACATGACATTATATCGTATACTTTAAAGTTTTAAGAATACTCACGAATTAGTAAGCCAATAAGCCCCAAGGGGAATGAATGTTTAACAAGATTGTCGAGAAATGATAAGTAAAGATGCACTTGAAATACTTTAAAAAATACCGCGTATTAACATCGCTTATCCACCAAAATATGACATCAATCTGATCAAAATAGAGATATCACCGAACGAAATTTACATAACAGCGAAGAATGTGATATTAACGGTATTTAATATGCACGTAGCGTTTAAAAAAGTCTGATCAATCATGAGCTGTATTAGTCGGCGTTTCTCTAGTTATATCTTAGTTTAAGAATTCGTTATCCGTAATCTTTTGCGTTTAACCAATTTGGTTATGTTTATTCGAAACACGTATCATATATCAAAATGATTTTCTATGATGTGATACACGTTTAACTGTCTATAAATATTATATTATTTTATACTAATTTCCTAAAACCAAATTTATTGCCTAATTTCTTAGCTTAAAATCATTGAAGGTAGTAAAATTGCCCTAAAATTTTTTACTTAGTGAATAAAATTTTGACTTTTGAAGTATTTTATTGATGATATTGATGTTTATCTGCAGGCGGGTCCTCGATCGGCGAGTTACCCGGGCAGCGGTGGATCCCGCCTGGACCTGTGCTATGTTGCGGAGCGCATGTTGGCATTGCACCTGCCTGATAGAGATGCACATGCGGAGGCCCAAGCTGCGCATATGCTCACCAACAAGCATGGCGACCACTTCATGGTAGGCATCGGTTTGCATTATCATAGACATCACATCATCATCACCGGCCTATTAATGTCCCCACTGCTGGTACACAGGCCTTCCTTATGGATGGAATAGGGAGATTGGGCCATGACCACCAAGTGGGCCCAGTGCGGATTGGTAGGTGCTAGCGACTGCAGATGCAACCGGGACCAACGGCTTAGCATGCCTTCCGAAGCAAGGAGAAGCTCGAGATAGTAAATTTTTGGTCAACCATCCAATGACCGACCACTGCGAAAGTTGCTTAACTTCAACGATCGCAGCCGAACGCGCTAACCTCTTGCGCCATCGAGCTCCTCGTATCATAGACATAAATAAATATTTCTTAATCGTACGCTAATTAATACCAATTAGCCTGATCCCAAAGTATTGATGTGCAGCGCGACGAAGCTTTAGTACTAAATGCGCTAAAATTAGCGTTCGAAATTTTAAATAGTGCAGCTGAGGGAACATACTTCCGATGACGTAAGTACGCTCCTTCAGCTGCATATATTCTATTCAATTCAAAATATCTTTATTCAAATAGGAAGCACTAGCACAACTCTTTTGAATCGCCCATGTTTTTCCCCTACCACACGTTAAGGACAGTTTTTTGCTGTAGAGAAAAACGGGCGAAAGGAACTTCACAGCGTCAAATCTTGTAACAACATCTACAAAATATTATATTGTTACAGTGTCAATACAAAATTAGGTCTTATATAAACAGCTTGTTGGAATATTTGGAACAGTTTAAACTCAAAATTTTTTCTGATTATATTTCAGACAGCTTATAATACACTTAATTCAAAAGAACTTTTTTAATAGCAGCTTTAAATTTATTGACGCTCAAGTGATGGATATTGCTAGGGACTTTATTATAGAAGCGTACACAAAGACCTTTAAATGAATTATTGATTTTGTGGAGCCTAGTGATTGGTACAGCTAGTTTATTTTTATTTATAGTATTAAGCGAGTGTTTATTTATTATTTTCTAATATATTAAATTTTAAGCCCAAAAAGACATAATGAAATCTGACAAAAAATGTAAAAGTTTCTGCATCTCTTTTCCAGGTATTCGAGGTGAGCAGTGGCGACGGCAGCGGAGACGGTCGGATAGCACGGAGCGTGTTCGGGCGCGCCAAGTCGTTAGGCTGGGCGGGTGCACTAGCGCCACCTCTTGAGCGATTGTGTGCCGCGTGCAAGCACATAGAGAGCTGGCTCGCTGCTCATCCAAAGAACGTCGCTATCCTATTAGCTTGGTAAGTCGAACTTTGTAGATTTGGTATTTTCTCTCATTGCTTTAGATCCACTTGAAGCAGTTTTACTAATTCTGAATTTAACTAAACCAAGATTAAGCCCACATATTAACGTCAAATCGACATTGACGTTTTGACATTTTTCGATAGATGTTTGTTTTAGTTTAATCGAGATTTAGTAAATTTGCTTGAAGTGGGTCATAATAGTAAATTTTGGAAATCCATGAAAAATGAATGTTTATTTTAAAGCTATAATCTGTTCTCATCAAACCCTACAAAATAACTCAGCTGTTGTCTTTGCCGAAAAAGTCGTCCTTTCAGAAAGATTTAGAAATGATTCTTTATCCAATTAACGTAGACCACAAAGTCTTCTTCGGTTTCTCAATTCACAAGTCAATTGGTTTTTATACTTACGTCATTGCTGATTTCCATAAAACGAGTTTTGGAGCTAGATCATAACAATATATGCTCATCAAATATGAATTTTGAAGAGCGTTTTTTAACTATACGATTTTGGTTTGGTTTTACCTATTATAGTCTTAATAAATATCTGTTTCGTTTTTACAGGGGCAACAGGGAAAGATTAGGGGTACTAGTGGCGGCTTATATGCATTACTCAGCAATCTGCGGAGCGCCCGAACACGCTCTAGACCGATATGCTATGCGGAGGTATCTAGACGATCGAGTGCCAGTTTTTCAACTACCCTCTAATAAACGGTAAGAAATTTTAAGTTACTATTGCCAAAATAGTATTTTATTGTATTTAAAGGATGTTGTATGTGTTATGAAACAAACATATAGTTGCTGGTTATAAATTTGACTATAAATTTAGTTTTTATTGTCAATTAACAAATTTATTGAGATTATTTGTCCATCTACGGCTTAAATAGATAGATAACCATACCTATGCTATCTATAATAATTAGGTATTTCGCTTTGATGAAAAATCAACAAGATTTCCTCGTGTGGGAAATTGTATAGCAGCTGCCACAAGTATATATATATGCCTAACGTACATACATATAATAAGTCATTTCAATGAATGACAATTAATACTTATTATGACTACATTGCGTGAATGACATTTTAAATTTTAATTTTATTTTAATTGTTTTTTTTAATGTAGTTTAATTTAAAGTACTGTTGTTAATTTTATTTTTGTTTGTATATTTAGTTCCTCTGTATATTTTAGCATACTAACCATGTATTATCTATGTACCACAAATAAAAAAAATATTGACCGATAATATTCTCATAACACTACCATTTCTTACATTTTGTACCTTATTTCTAGGTACATAGATACGTTTGCTGGCCTCCTGGCTGGGCAGATCCGCGTGAATGCATCTCCACTCCACCTAACGCACGTGAGCGTGGCCGGATCACTCGCGTCGCCAGCCTCGCCTACTATCGCCTTCCTCAAGATATACGAAAACTTCGCATGCGTTTACACTTCAGGTAAGAGCAACATTGAAGCTTCATACATTTTTATATCAAATTAATCGAGGATACTTTCCAATACTACAACCCGATGTACTACACCTCTCATACTTAAAAAGTTAGACCTGCAATTTGAGGGTAGCTGGTAACAAATAACTGGAATCCACTTTTACTTTACAAAAGGTTGGGTGTAGTCCCTTTCTAGGTACCTATATAAGAATATGTCTTGTGTACTAGCGTGATTAGAGTAACAGGGAAAACTGTTTCCAAATAAATTATTTGAGTGAGCACATTTTCCAGTTGTCGTTTGTTATGGTGTGAGGCAAACACAATATCCATTGCAGTTGGCCCACGATAGAGGAACAATAGAAATCGAAAGAGAAGGTTAAGAAGATTGGATTGCCAGTTTTGTATCTAAGGACATGGGATCTGGGTAATGTTCTGGTGATGATAGTTATGGTACCGCTTACTATTAAAAAGGCCGTTTTTTGGCTTCCGTTTTTACTGAATACAAATCAAAGAGGCGTTTATTCATACAGGTCTGTACATGGTGAACGGCGGTGGATGGACGGTGGGCGTGGGACGCCTGGCTTTACGCGGCGATGTTCTAGTGCGCGCGTACAGGCGGCCTGCGCATGCACATTCACACTCCACTGCGCAGCGCCACCTGGTGTTCGCGTGCCAATTCCACACATGCGCCGTCGCTGACCACACCCTCTCGTTCACCAAACAACAGCTGGATCATGCTGCACACGGTACTAATTTTTCCACTAATAAATATAAGACCACTGTAAATCGCGCGGCGATGAGCTGGGTGCGCTCGCACAGGCGGCCTGCGCATGTGTATTCACATTCCACTGCGCAGCGGCATCTGGTATTCGCAAACTAGTTACATACATGCGCCGCTTCCGACCATACCCTCTTCTTCACCAAGCAACAGCTGGGTCACGCTGCACACGGTACTAACTGTTCCACTAATATAAGACCACTAATAGAAGATATTCTTCTGCGGGCCACAAGCGATCGACCCAAGCGCACTTACATTCCACTGCGCTGCGACACCTGGTGATCGCCAGCCAATTGCATAAATATTTGCGCCGTTGTAGATCGCACGCCTTCCTTCACCAAGCCACAGCTGGATCACGCTGCACACGGTACTAACTGTTCAAGTAATATACGACTATTAATTAATAATTAATATTATATTGTAAGTTTACGGATTTTTTACTCGTACCAATACAAATCTGAAGACACTACTTGAATGTTGTGTGCGAAAAATTACGCGAACTTACAAAACTAAGGGATATACATAGTGTTTATGTAATAAGCAGTTTCTCGTTATACTACTAGTATTTGGGGTATCATATCAATGGTGTATTTATCGATTTAAGTCTAGGCTTGATGTCTTAGTCGGAGTCTAAGCTAATGGTTTTGATTTCTTTAGCTAATAGTAACTTTAGTGCGCGACTACGTTTGATATTTGAATTCTATACAATATACTGATTCCTTTCGTTATTTGATAGACCCGTCGTTCCCGAGCGATGGCGCAGTGGAGCTGGTGTTCGCTCGGGGGGAAGGGTCCGGGGGAGCAGCCCCTGCCCCTACCCCCGCCGCCCCCCTCCGCGCCGCTCCCGATGCCATAGCCAGAGCTGACTCATTGGAACACCTGAGGCCACTCTCCACATTTACTGATGTCGATTCTGGTGAGTACCGAGATTCGTGATCTAACAGATCCATCGTTCAGCGCGATGGAGCAATGGAAATGATGTTCACTCAGGGAGAAGGACCTGGGAGGTGGCCCCTGCCCCTACCCCCGCTGCCACCCTCCGCGCCACGCCTGATTTCTCAGCGAGAGCTGACTCCTTGCAACACCTGAGGCAATTCTTCATATTTATTGACGTCGATTCTGGTAAGTTTTAAAAGCTCTTGTAACATATTTCAAACCTCAGGCAAGAGATGAACTCCTAAAGACACCTCCGACGCTCTCTAGTATACTCTGTCTATGTGTCTAGGGTGACTCTAGCGAGTATACAAAGTAAATTAAGGTCGCAATGAGTTACGTACCTATGTCAATTAGTGCTGTAGGCGGTCGCCCCGGCCAACTCCACTCCCGATATCTTAGCGAGACCTGAACTCCTTTTCAATTGCATACCTTTAAGATAGCAGAATGTTTTAGCCATAATTTATTACCTTTGGCAAATTTTTGTTAAGTATTATCTTTGTTAGTGGGTTAAGTTAGTATGGTGACCTCAAATTAGCCAGTCGCCTGATATATAATTTAAATAAAGCGAGGAAAGTTTGTATGCCAAAAGACGATTTTGACTATGAATAACTTTTTAATTAGTATGTATAAATTAAAGAATAAAAACTTGTTGTATTTAAAGGATTAAAAATATATATATACAGGAACAATGAACCTAAAACTAAAAACCTTATAAAATATAATATAATAACTAAAATTAACATTATGTACAAGAATAATATTCAAATATCACCCCGTATCGTTTCTGGCGCAAAGGTGCCCATTATGCTTGCAGCATTGCCACGCTGGATGGCAATAGACAATCTTTGTGCCAGAAACGACCCGGAGCGAGGGTCGTTAGTTTTTTGCCTGAGTCGGCGGCCCAGGTCCCACACAAATTGCTTGGCCTCTGCGCTCACAACCCGCCGTTTCCACCGCCAAAGGCACAAAAAAATATATATAAAGAATAAATAGATATAGAATAAATGTCTGATAAATGAGTGATTGCCAAATGATTTTTTGCTAATTTAATAATGAAAATGATGCCATCCGTTAATATGCATACATAATAATATTATGATATTAAAAGTTCTGCGATAAAAGCAGATCCAAGCCTCCTCTAGGCTGGATAATAATTAGTCACATACATAGGACATAGGTCTCATAAAGATAAATTAATTGGCACTTGGAAAAGCGCAAGCACACTGTGCATGTGTGCTATCTTCTTCCACGTGCGTGCAGTCATCTTCTCTTTCACTAGCTTTCCGCCTGCGACTTCACTGGCATATGCTACAATCTTCATCCCCCGTGGTAACCTATAAGGTACTGAATTTTTAAATATGTATTAGTTTTTTCAACCTATTAGGATCCCCTTAAAGTTTGAAAATGAACTTGCTGCCGCAGCTGGCAAACCATGGACCAGAATTGCTCGGGAAAGACATCAATGGAAGTGGTTGGATCACAAATAACAACATTTAATAATAAATATATACTTTTATTAAAAATAATTGTAATCTGAAATAGGCTAATAAATAAATAAATAAAAGTTTGATAAAGAGTATACATATTAAAAATAATAACAGTAAACATATATTATAGCTAACTATAAAATAGTTTTCATTTTTTCAGAATTCTAACTTTTATTTATATGAAATTTTAACTTTTTGAGATAATTGAACTACAAAACAAGGAGAAAAAGTTTGTTTGTTTACCCCTTTGGGGGATAATTTTAAAAACCCCTTTCGTAATGGAGGATACCTTACATCAGTCATATTTACTATTTACTTGCTTAATTTCAGTGCAAATATTTTCAAGAGCAAATATAAGAGACCTCTGACCTAACATTATGTTGAGCAAATAATATATGGATACAACACAAAGTTATTATTACAAATATTAAAACCATAATAAGCAAAATAAAAAAGTTTCACGGCTGCTGTGTTAAGGAATTCCTAGAGCAGCAAATAATCCGTAAAAGTACAACACTTTTTTTTCGCCAGCTAAACGAATACGGTGTTTGGTTATAAATTAAATTATTTTCGGCAAGTTTTGCATAATTTATAATGAATACTAATATATTATAAAATATATCTTATCTTGCCTGGAAAGAGGTTGCCTACAGTCTAGAGATAAAATGTTTCCAAATCCAGGCACATGAAATCGCAAGCCGAAGCTAATGTTTACCCATAAACCACACACAAAAGTAACCACAAATCTGTTAAGTTCGTGACTGACGTACGTAATTTATTTAACGAGTCGACCAACGGCTTACCTATTGGTCGCGCGTCCGCGACTCTTCTATTCTCGGCATTGCATATACGGAGTTTCTGCTCCACGTGTTAGCCTCAGCACATCCGTAACGCGTAACCTGTGACTTTGTTCTCAGATCGCTGACTTCCTGTGGTGATTCCTTTTTTACACTGTTCCCTTGTTTATGTGGACTTGTTTTTGTAACTATGTCAGGTAGTGGTATCTACTTTGCGCTGCATTGCCTGGTTCTGAAAAATTCAAACTTGTCATAACGTTTTTTTCTTATTTTACAAATTGTCGTTTATTCTAATAAAATTAATAGTTTTTTTATTGTTGTTTTAAGAAAATATAAAGCTATCATAATTGTGTGGATTGATCTACATACATATTGCATTTTATCTAGATTGGAGGAATAACATAGATTATAAAATTCTATATTAATACATATTACCTACGTTGATACATAAAATGTGCCCTTTATTCGAATATACTTGGACGAGAAAATATGTAGGTGAAGGTACATTTTTTCCGTGGCATTCAACGGATCGTTTGTGACGATCACGATCGTTGCAAGACAAGAAATAATTGCTTGTCAGTTGTCACCATCAACAGCAGCTGTAAACATGAACCGGAAGCACTTTATACTAACTAAAACTTGTCACTGCTTCGTTAGAGATTGTAAGGAATACCAGTACATTTACTTCCACTATCTACTGATACTCGTACATTTATAGTGAACAAGGTAAAAGTTAATGTTATTTTCGTTTAAATTGCTGTTTCCTGATAAAGTTTCCCAATTTCTCTTCATTTTTAATAATATATTATGATAACTTCATGTTATTACATACACAAGTATTCATTTAATTAACACATGTTAATTAAATGAATTAAATGAATGAGAGAGGCAGAAAAAGACAATACTCTATTTACTTCAATGCAGACAAATCTCATTTGTTTCAGTTCAGTATTTCATACAATGAAGTACCGGTTGATTTTTTAAACATATAGTTAAGATAGATGTTGTTTTTATAACATAATTTCTTTAACCACCTTCAAAAAGGAGGAGGTTCTCTATTATTCATTTTTTTTCATTTTTGTTCGCGCTTATTTCTGAGGTTTGTTGAACGACTTTGATGTTTTTTTTTGTTTGGAAGAGTTTGTTAGCCTGATAATTTGGTGAAGATCTGATGAATACTTTCGGATATAAATAACGGAGCAACTCAAACATGAAAAGTACACATTATTATTGTTTGATTATTTTTCTTATTGAATATGATTAAATTTATAGGAATCTGTCACGGAATTCTGAAGCCCATTAATATGGAAAGGATCCTCTAAAATCTCTTGCATTTAACAAAATAACAATAGTTATACCAGCATTACTATTGCTAGTATAGCATAAAATGTGATACCTTAAAGTAACCATAATTTATATGTTTTGTCGCTGAAAACACATAAAATGCATTTTATTACTTTGTATTTGTAATGTAATTTGGAACATGTTGATAGTTTCCTGTTATTAAATTCTGTTTGTATTTAAGAAATATAAAATGTTAACGATCGCTTTTTATGACATATTTAATTCATGCAAACGAATAGCGCTCACATTACATACAATAAACATTGTAGCAACATTTATGCAACGAGATTTCTGCAAAGAGTGTTCGCTACTATAGTTGACGTAGAAATTGTCTAAGAAACTTGTAACAATTACGTGAAAATAGTGCATTTAAGTATGTCACAGTTAGTTGACAATGTGGATAGGGAGAGGTGTCTGTGGACGCAGGTGCCCGAGCGCCGTCTATTTCAGGCAGTAGCGGCGCCCGCCCGGACGCGGCCGCCCGCCCAGTCGCGTGCCCACTGCCGCCCAACGGACCGGCGAACGCGCCAACATGTGCCTTCATTCACAAACCACCACATCTATTTCATCGCCTCCTAAATACTGACCTGATTCCACTACCTAAAAAAAACAGTTACAAAACAGAAATTTGTCGCCTCCTCACGGTTACAAAGAGATAATATTCGTTTTACAACTCTAAAAAACCTGTAATCAAGGTGAGTGTAACAATCAAGTATTGTTAATTACTGGTCACATTTTTTACGCTCGCCGCCTACGCATATTTGTTACATTAATAAAAGTTTGTGTTGGGATTATTGATTTAGAATACTTTGTTTATGTTACTTATGGTGTGTAACGAATGCGTATACAATCATCTTTTAACAATAACCCTTATGAGTGAACAAGGTATTGTCATTCTGTGGGCAAACGAGGGGCGGATTGGTTCCGGTGCAGAGCGGCGCGCCTGCGCACTAATTGACCGGTGTGATGAATCGGTGATGTACGCCCGCTGGACGCCGCCTGCTCGCCCTTAGGGCCTGTCATTCGACACACTTCATGTAGGCGCATTCGTCATGAATGGAACTCGACGTACAGCTTGCATAACTGGAGGTACGAATGTAGATCAACCGACGGACGGCGCCAGCGGTATTCAACCGACGGCGCCAGCGGTATCTTGATCTTTTTCATTGAGTATTTGATTTTTCTACCAAAAAAAATTACTTTAGGTTAAAGTGTATTATTTTTACTTCAATTCAAGAACTAAGCAGTTTGACTTTATCTTATTTTACCCCGAAATCTGATAGTAACTTATTGATTCAGATTTATTATAAAACTTTTGACTGATAAACGTAATAATTAATAGTTTTATCATT